AAGGAGGAGGCTTCCAAGGCAGAGGCATCAAAGAAAGACATTGTTGCCGATAAGCGATCAAAGAGGTCGACAACGGACAAGGCTGAAGCTTCTAAGGGCCAAAAGGCGGAAAGGGGCCGAGGGCCAAAAGACCCTCCAGGAGTCTGGCCTAATTATGAAAAAGGTCACTACTCCTCGGGGCTCTGAGTTGAATATATCTGATGATGCCGCAACGTTGGTGGATGTCATTAATGTGGAAAAAATGGCTCTGGGAGGCCTTCACGTGCAGCCCCTCACTGCTTCAAATCATCCGGCAAGATGCCCAATCCGAGGAGGCGTCTGGAGGGCCCCTAGGTGAAGGGCATGTTGATGATGTTTCTTTCAAGGTCCCGGCCGGTGGGAGTGTGATTGACGGAACTATTCACGAGCACGAGCTTCTCATACGCTCTCTGCCTCCAGCTGACCGGGAGGCGTTGAAAGAGGTTTGATGATGAAGCCCTTTACCAAAATGGGATGCAAGATGTCGCCAGGGTGAGTTGTTCTCTCCTTGCGTTTTGTCTTTGTCTATTATTCTTTGTCCATGGTAATAGCTCATCTGACTGTTCTCACCTCGGTTTTCAAGGGGCCATGTTCTTGTTGGATTATGGCCAAAGGATGCGCTCCAAGGCACGCCCAGTTTGAGAAGATGCAGCGTGACTCTAAGGAGTTTGACCAGGCTCTGGTGACCTTGGAGAAGCTGAGGGCCGAGGTGGCCGAAACAAGCTGTGCGCCTCGAGGAAGCTGAGAAGGCTAAGGCTGAAGTACAACGTGATGGTGTCGTGACCCTTGCTCTGATGGTGAAAGCCAAACAAGAGGTTGAGTTGAAAGTGGATGCCGAGCAACTGAGGAAGGCCAAAGAAGAGCTCCCTCGCTTTAAAGAATCTAGTTAGGAGGCCGAGGAGTAGGAATGGGTTCCATTCTTTCGGTTCAGTTTTCACCGAAAACCAAATACGGAATCAAAGTAGAAAGTTTGGTTCGATTTCGGTTCGGTTTACATTTCAAAACTTGAAACCACAATTTTATTGTTTCGGTTTATTTCGATCCGGTTCGGTTTTTTTCGGTTTTCTAAACTAAAAAATTATCTTTTGATTTAAAATTATATAATAGATGGAGGGATCGATTATATTACATAAAAATGCAAACATCCTAGAACAAATAAAATAAAAAATGAGAAGAAATAAATATATCTTGAATTATATGATTATGTGGAAGAGATAAAAAGTGTATAAAATCTCAACTTACATTGTTTGTGACTAGCTTGAAAAAAGTTCAATGAATATATACGTCCTATGTGATATAGTTGAGATAAATATTTATTTGTTCTATCAATACAAAAGCTTTTAAGTAACATAAGAATAAAAGTTGACTAGTAGTTATAACTAGTAAAAACATATCATCATCATGCAACAATTATAACATGCGTACATAAAAGACATAAAGATCCATATAACTACATTATTACATGAAATGAATGTATAAATGCATTTATAAATTAAACTAAACTAAACATAACACAAAAACTAATTCTCTAACACAAGAAAACCAAAGACTATTGATGATATTAGGATTAATTAGGATTAACGCTTAACAATTAACAAATAAAATTTCAAATTTTAATTAGTTCGGTTTATTCTGTTCAGTTTTGAAGGGTAAAAATCGAAACCAAACCAAACAAATGCAGTTCGGTTCAGAATTTTACATTCGGTTTCGGGTTTTTAGCTATTCGGTTTTATTTGATTACGGTTCGGTTTAATTTGATTCAGTTTTCGGTTTTGCGGACCCAACCCTACTGAGGAGCATGAGCCCTGGGTGCATTCAGTGATTGCTTCTCGGCATGATAAATGGCTAATGACCTCCGAGGGGCAAATTTTTCTTATTGACGAGGGGGAGTTGTCCTACGTCGAGGGGGGGACAACATATTCAGTTGTTGGTGTACCGTCGGCTGGAGCGTAAGATCAAAGATTTCAACCCCTTCGATTATGCCCCCCCCCCCCCCCAGATGAATGGGTCAGTTGAGGAATTTAAAAAACCTGTGGAGGAGAGGCAGGATCATGTCATGGACTCTGATGTGGAGGAGGCAGGCTGAGGTGATAAGCGACACAGAATAGAGGACGGTCGTGTGCTTGATGCTTTAGATGTTGACATTCGCAAGGAGCCGCAATGATGTGATGCCTTTTGGCTTCCCATGTAGAACCTCTTGTAAATGGCCGAAATGCCCATTTGTTAGTACCCAATTTTAATAAAATTTTGATGATGCCACTATACTAAAAGTCAATATGTCCTGCGTTCTTACTTTAATTAAAGGTTGATCAGGCTCTCAAATTGTGACCAATTAAAATGTACAATTTTTGTACTAAATAAATTTTTACTGGAAAATTAAAATGCAATAAGGTATTCTTTTTACCTTAAAAGGACATTCAGATCCAACCAGTATAAATTTATTTAGTACATAAAATTATCAAGTCACATAATCAGCTGATCAAGAAATGACAAATTAATTCTGTACCAAATAAATTTTACTGGAAACTAAAAACTACAATAAGGTAAAATTTGTTTACCTTAGAAGGACACTTTGATCCTACCAGTACAAATTTATTTGGTACATAATAAAATAGAACACGGCATACACACACACATACACTGCATGTGTATGATTGAAGACAAAGACAAGAAAAGCATTAAATGCTCAACAGTACGAAGACCAAAGAAGATGGGTCGCACACACCAAATCGTGAAGATTGAACCTTGACTTGATCTTCTAGCTACTAATCAGTGAAGACAAAGGAAATTTCCAATATCAGCTCCAGCACAAGAGAACAAGAGTACACCTCATTCTACGAATAGGATTGAATCCTCTCAACCAACGGAGGAGATCAACCTACTGGAGAAGCCTATAAAAGAAGGCATAGGCATGAGTTCTAAAACCAAGTTTTTGAGTCTTCTAAGTAGAGTAATCACTCTAAGTATTCACGAGCTATCAAGCAAAAGAGAAAGTGCCAATTCAACTTTGCTCTCTGCTTAGACTCATGCTTCACTAAGCTCTAAGATTAGATTAACAACTGTCATATTTGAAGAGCTTAGTTCATAGTTGGAGGTTAGAACTTTCTTGTAATCACAAGTTGTTGTAAACACTTAGGAGAACGGTTGTTCAGATCCTAAAGTGCAGTTAGATAGAAAAGAGTACCTTTTGAACCCCACTGGTTCAATAGAGAAAAGTCTAAGGACTGAGTAACCTTGAGTGGTGCTATACTCATTGTGAAAAACCTTCAATCTAGGCCTAAGTGTTGTAAAGGCTGGATTGACACTAAGTGTATTGGGCTTAATACTTTAGTGAAATCCATCTGAAAGAGGGTGGGACTGGATGTAGGAGGATTACACCACCTCTGAACCAGGATACATCGTGTGTTGATTTTATGTTAGTCAACAAAGCACACAACCAACACTTCTCACAAAAAGATTGGAGTTTGCCAGCAGCATCCTAAGCAGTTGCCTTAACAGACCCAACTGCTTATCCTACTGCTTAATTACTTACTTTCTTTGAGATTTTTTTCACAAGAAACGTGTACAAATATCACTAAAAGGCCTATCAGGTCATTTTCCAGAAATTCATTCTCAAGTATAGCAGGTGCCTCGGCAGTCCCCTAGTGTCCATCCAACTGCTGAGCCCTCTGCTCACAAACACTTGTTTTTCTTAAACATCTCAATATCATTGGACCTTCATAACATTACCAACGAGGAAGTTGACCAAACTGCTCTGTGAAATTCATCCTCTAAACCAAGCAGGCACCTCAGCAGTGCCCTCATCACCAATCAACTGCTGAGACCACTGCTCCAGTAAAACTTCTGATTACATATACTAAAGCACATTTTCAAAAGCCCTCACTGTTCTTAGCAACATTTCATCATCACCTTCTTCAAACACCCAATATTTTCTCAGCAGTTGCCTCAGCAGTCTCCTGCATTTCAGCTAACTGCCAACTCAGCAGTTGCCTCAGCAGTCGCCTACCCATCATCCAACTGCCAAGCCTACTGCCCTTCCATAATTAGTCTAAACATCACCCAGACTAGAAAGTTATCTTAAACTGAGTTTCTAGAGGTTAAAGACTTCCGCTGTGCATCTATTAATCTCCCAAAAGATTATAGATCAACTCATCTAGAAGGGAAAAGTTCTTAAAGACGAAAAAGCTATAAAAGTCTATTCACCCCCCCCCCCCTCTAGACTTTTACCTCTATCCGGTACCATCACCATTGATGTAATGTTTTTTATCTCTTAATGAGAAGTGTATTCGTTTGACTTATTCTTTTTTCTCGCATTTTCATACTTAGCCAATTTTCTTCTTTGTTGAATGCATGCTTGACTGCTTGTACTTTCTGAGCAATATCGAGGTGGTAGAGGTCATGACCTGTAACGACCGTCCCCAAACGGCCATTACGATACTAAACATGAACAAGACTCGATATACATAGCGGAAAATAAAGATACAAAGTCTCGTCACGAAACTTTATTCCTTATATACAAAAGCAAACTTCATAATGAAAATGTCAAATGACGAACAACAAAACATCCTTAAAACAAAGTTTATCACACATGATCAAGATTTTTAAAACAAAACATCAAACAACCCATAAAAGTGTCATAGTACAAAAACAAAACATGAGACACAACCAGGTCTTCTCCGTTAACCCATACACGGCCTCGCCACCTACCACGGACATTCTCTCAGGCTTCCTTTTTTTTTAACCCGGTAGGCAAACCACCTATGTAGGGCAAATGCCGGGGAACATTTGCCAGAATTTATTAAAAATTGAAAGTACAGAAGAGAGGGGGACCGAACCAAAACCTCTCAGACAGGAAAGCTTTAACAATTAAAATTTTGAGTAGGTATCCCAACTGAAGCAGAGATAGACCTATTATATCTATTATGAAATTTAATTGCCTTCTGAAGATAAGGCTGGTCTGGGTTTAACCTGCTTGAAGCCTTCTGGGCATTCGTCCTTCTCAGGCGGTTTTTCTTTTGGACCTGCAGAAAATTGTTGAACTGAAAAGTCCTCAGAAAAAGTTTCATCATTGGACCCATTTGGGACAATGTTGGCATTATTTTCCAAACCCCGATTAAAGGAGGCAGCTGGGGTCTTTGGGACAGTTTTTGGAGCTTTATCATGAAGCAAGGGATCAGAAGAGCTTTCTTCATTTCCCGAATCCAAGGTTTGACTTAAAGTGTCAAATCTATTAACCATAGGGACCATGTACTCATTCCGAGCCTCAGAACCATCTTTGGCATTTTCATCATAGGCAACGATCGTTTTTTCAGTGGCGACACTCTCACAGACTAATCTGTCACAGGCAACAGTTTCATGGGCAACATTTATGACATTTGCACAATCGATAACATGGCCAACTTCAATAACATTTCCACATGCAGCCTCATCATAATTTGTAACTGGTATAGAATCATCACAAGTAATAGGGGCATTTTCAGGACCGTAATCAATAGCAGCATTTTCACAGTGTGAAATAGGTGCAGATGCATCAAAATAAGAAGCAGTGGCATTTTCAGAGTTGTGCATGATGATAACATTTTCACAATCTATGACAGGAGCGGAAATATCACAATCAGTAACAGGGACACTTTCACAAGCAAGAATGAGTGCCTGTTTTTCAGAATTGTTCTCAGTAACAATAGGATTTTTAACAGAAGCATCACATACAATACGAGCATTACAGGCAACTTCGGTATTTTCAGGTGAAGTTGTGGTAGCAGGGACCTCAACCAAAGGGTCATTAC